GAGGGGAAGATGGACAAAAAAAAGGGCACAGGAGGGGAGGGGCCAAGAGAAGGGAATTTTTTTTCTTTTGATTTAGTAATTATGAGAATTGTCATTGTTGGAATTTGGTCGTTTTAGTAAATAACCCCATAAATATATGCTCAATGGAAGAATCCAAAAATCAACTATTACTAATAAAGTTAAAACAGTAAATATTAAAACTTAAGAATTGGGGTGATACAATGTCATACCGTTACCTAAATTTATATAAATATGAAGAGAACTGTTTGTTAGTATTGGAAATGCTATAATCAATTATAGTTTGCAATGCTGACCTTATTGATAACAACATTAATAACTATACCACAAACATGGACCTAATAAATCTCAGCATTAACAGTGTTGCTCACAGCAGTCAATTATCAAATTCAATCCACGAATGTGCAATATTGCCCACCAATCAACCACATTCAACCTATTCTGGTGTTAGCTTTTGTGCTAAATGTGACTGTTTCAATCAGCATCTCTAATGCATTCCCCACATTAATTGCATGAAATTAAACTTTTAAATAATCAAGCTACAAGAAATTAATAACAAAACCACAGCACAAGCCATGTTAATTTATGCAGTAATTTCAGATGAACACAGAACCAGAGAGTAACATATCTTTGTTACACCTAATTAGGTTTTTACAGAAGTGTCTCTCTGTAACCTTTAGAAAAATTAGAGAATTTGTTATTACAACATTCTGGTGGGTGTTTATCAAAGTTGTGTTTCTGGCAGTTCACTTTTTGCTTAATATATGTATTTTTTTACTTTTTCTGTCTGAATGTAATGGGTTTAACCAAATTGGAAAAAAATGCTGACTTTTCTAAAAGGTTGATGAGAAAAACAGCAAAACCAATTATATTCTGTATTCATCTTACTTGTTAAATGTTTAAGGAAAGCAACTTCATCCACTGCCTGAGAATTTGAAACACTTGATGATGTACCCTTTTTAACTAACTTTGTAGCAGTAAATGTTTGTGAGGCTAGGAAATGAAGATTGAGGTAGTAGTCTAAGAAGTCTAGGTTTGGGATTTAAATACAAAGTGAAATATTTTTGCATAAAATAGATCTATTTAGCATATACAAAACTAAATACATCAACAGTGTCTCACACCTATTGTTAAAAGCCTTCAAAAAAGTAAATCCCAATAACCTCTCCATTATCATTAACCCCTTCACTACCAAGCACTTTCGAATTTAAACATTTTTTTTTCGCATTACATCTTTTTGAAGTAAGGGATGTTGTATAGCTAGCATATAAATATATCATAATACGTTGATATTTTGTATAAATTGCTTTGCAGACAAAGTTAGAAATTAAAATTATGTACATTTAAAGAACCATTATGTTTTTCACTTATTCATTCATCTTTATATATAAAAAAAAAAAAATGTGTGGGACATGAAAAGCTTTACACAGTATACAGACTTATTTATCTTGCAATATTTCACACAAAATCTAAAATGTTAGAATAAAAGCAATTTTTCTCACATACAGTAGTTGTGACAAAAATTATATAAATAAAAATGGTCAAATACCTTGCTTATAGGTACATTGTACTAAAATGGCAACAGAATGTAAAAGGAATGTCTACATTTGAGCATAATGCCCACATATAGTAAATACAGTGAAATTATATATTTCTAAAATAAATGTATTTAAAACTATTATAGCAATCTTTATCAATCTCTGGAATGCTGATGTAATGCTAACAATGAATTCACTCCTCACCTCTCCCAACTGTGGGAATTATATCAGTCACTGAAATTGTGTAACTATGTAACTATATCAGTCACTGAAATTTCCTTTCCCTTTGTGAAAGCAGGAGGTGAGCTTACATTTTTCCTAACTTTACGGGCATTAATCATAATATATAGTAGCTTTTGGCAGAGAAATGAATTCTTCTACAGGCTGGTAATCATAACTAGTGTATAAATGAGGGAAAGTGAGCCTTTATGGACTAGATTTCAGAGAACACACATCATAAAAAGTGGTTAATATACATTGACCAGGATTGATATCACATTGCAGTGAAATGCAAATTAATTTAACAAAGTACTACTTTTTTTCCCTCCGTTGGGCCAATACAGCTTATACCTGTAAAAAAAATTGTACTCAACATCAGATGTTTTCTTTATTCTTAAACTGTCTTTTCGTCAAAACAGGCTAAACAAATATCCATAAGTCCCATGGCAACTTTGAAAAGAAAAAAGATAAACTAGATTGAATAAAAAAACCTTAAAAAGTCCAGGGACTAGTCATTACTTTTTCTCACTTAAAATGTAACCATATGGGAGGAAAATGCTCCTGCCAATGTACTGCAAAGTATATACATAATGTTTGTATTATGTTTATATTTTGCAATACACTGATTGGCCCATTATCGCACCCTTTTGGGTCATCTGATTCGGTTACCAAATTCTGCTAAGGCAAACAGGCATTCAGCTGACATTCAGGTGTACAGACATTTTCTTCTATGTATACAATATATTTATTAGGTTTCTAGACTATGACTTTAATCTATTTAAGGATAAATTAGTTTCTGGTTGATCCAAGGCAATAGTTAAGTATTTCTAATCCTGCATTTTTCAAAGTGCACTTCAGGTGACAAGAAAGACTTCATGGCATATTAGCTTTTTCTGTTCTTAATTATACTGAGAAATTAATGTGACAATTGCAATATATATATATATATATATATATATATATATATATTTTTTTTTTTGTGAACTCCAAACTGAAGGAACAAGAGGTTATGTAAGAGGTGAAATAACTATATAAATGATACATAAATAATAATTATTTTACAAATTTGATTTAATTTTCAGCATTCTATTTTGATAACATTTAGATTAATTTTCATTAGGCTGCTATAGTTGTGATAGAAAAAAAGGTTAAGAAATATTTAGAAAATTCAGTATTGTGGCATGTAAGTAAAAGAAAAAGACCATAAATTATGCTGTAATTCTAAAAGTGAATACATGTTTATTGCTGTATAGTGATGTCCCGAACGGTTCGCCGAACGGTTCGTCACGGACGGCGAACACATGCGCTGTTCGGTCCGCCCCCTATGTCATCATTGAGTAAACTTTGACCCTGTACCTCACAGTCAGCAGACACATTCCAGCAGCAGACCCTCCCTCCCAAACCCTCCCACCTCCTGGACAGCTCACTAAGAATGCAGCTTCACAATGAATTTAAAATGGATGTTGTCCAGGAGGGTCTGCTGCTGATTGGCTGGAATGTGTCTGCTGACTGTGAGGTACAGGGTCAAAGTTTACTCAATGATGACATAGGGGGCGGACCGAACAGCGGATATGTTCGCCGTCCGTGGCGAACCGTTTGGGACATCACTATTGCTGTATAATAATTACTGAACATTTTAAGTTTATATAATCTACAGAGAATATCATGTTTAAAATAATGTATAAAGGCTTATCATGTTATAATCCAAAAAGAATAGGGAAAGCATTAAAAGATTTCTGTCAATATCCCAGAAAAAATAGATATGGTTTCTCTTAAGGAATATCTTGGAAAATTAAACATATCTAATCTTACAAAAGAACAAAAGATCTTTATAAATTCTTGTATAACTTTAGAAGAAGTGAATTCCGCTATAAATAAGCTTTAGAATAATAAAGCACTAGGGCTAGATGGCTTTTCTAGCATATTTAGTTTCAATGTTTCATAATGTAGGAATATCTGATAGTTTTCCAAAATACATTTTACAAGCAACTATAATGCCTATACTTAATATTTTATAGATAAAATAATGGCATTATATAATATACCATTGGCCAGAATAATATGTTCAGGGAAAAAATCCCCATGGTTCACGGTAACAAAAGGGACCAGACAAGGATGTCCCCTTTCTCCTATGTTATATATTCTTACTTTAAAACCCTTTGCACAACAAATAAGGAGTGATGCAGATATAACTGGCATAGCATTATATCTTGACTCATCTAAAATGTTTCACGCAGATGATATAGGGATAACTATGAGCAATACAGGTAATTCTCTTGAAGCTTTGATGGAAGAAATACAAGTATTTAGCAGTTATTCTAATTATAAATGAACTATAGATAAAACATCTGCTATGCCAGTAAATATTGAAAAAGTAAGGTTAAGTTTGAACTCAAACTTAGATATGGATTTAATTGGACCTCAGGGCCTATTGAATAGTTACGAGCCAAGATAATATCAGATCTAATAAAATATTGGAATGTAACTATGACAGTCAAACAAAAATAATTTTAATAAATGGATTAATAAGGAGATACCATGGTGGGGAAGATTAAATATTATGAGATCATATATACTCCGCAAATGGACATATTTATTTAGACTAATAACTCTTACTTTTCCTCAAAAATGGCTAAAAGAAATACAAAAAACTTTTAGTGAGTACATCTGGATTCTGAATAAACCTAAAATAGATTTTCTATTCACAACAAAGTATTTCAAATAGTGGAATTGGATGCAAGCTATCATGATGAATCTATGTTTTTTTTTTACTTAATGAAGTGGTGTACCCAAGAATTGTTTAACGAAGTTTGGTATGAGATAGAAACTATAAAGGAGGAATTGGCCCTGGTCCTTAAAACGTTAAAACCATTGAAGAGCCCAAGCCCAGACGGTTTCACGGCCCTCTACTATAAAACCTTCCAGGCTCACCTCGTCCCGCACCTCTGCAAAACCTTCAATTCTCTCATACAAGGACAACCACTCCCACCAAAAATGCTAAGGGCAGATATTTGTCTGCTGCCGAAACCAGGAAAAGACCATCTAAACCCAGGACAATACAAACCAATCTCACTCCTGAACACGGACCTGAAAATAATCACCAAAGCACTGGCCAACAACCTTAACCCATTCCTCCCTAACCTGATCCACCCGGATCAGGTGGGTTTTATACCATGCCGACAAGCAGCAGACAACACCAGACGAGCCTACGACACGATCTGGTAGAAGGCATTCGACCTCCTTCTCTGGCCCTACCTATACTCAGTGCTCAGACACCTAGGGTTCCCGAACAAGTTCCTCAGTGTCCTGGCTGCACTCTACAAGAGACCAACAGGACAGCTCCTCTTACCCAACATGGAAGCTCAAACATTCATGATTGCAAACATTCATGATTGTCCCCTGTCACCCCTGCTCTTTGCAATCTCACTTGAACCACTACTTCAGGCCATACGCCGCCACCCAGACATCCAAGGGGTTCAGATCCGGCAAGAAACTTATAAGTGCGGACGACGTCCTACTGACCCTAGCAGACCCCATACAATCGCTACACACTACGCTGACACTGATCAACGACTATACCAGTCTCTCAGGCTATAAGATTAACCTGGCAAAATCTGTAGTTATGCCCATGGCCATGGACCAGCAACAGATCACAAGACTCCGCAACCTATTCCCCTTTCAAATCGTAACCACATCCCTCACATACCTGGGCATCAAGCTATCCCCCCAATTCACAGACATCTACAACCTCAACTACAAACTGCTCCTGGCAAAAGCCCGGGCCGACCTCCAGCGCTGGGACGCACTGGGAGTCTCATGGCTAGGGAGGGTCACCACGACCAAGATGAACCTATTCCCTAGGTTCCTATATCTATTTCAGACACTACCAATACTCAAGATGGACCTCAAACAACTGTAAGCCTCTGTTGATAAATTCATATGGAAAACCAAAAAGCCCAGGATACGCAGAGCCACGATGTACGTGCCCAAACCCAGGGGCGAATTTGGACTTCCCAACTTCCAGCACTATTACCACGCAGCGCAGCTGGCACACCTACAACAATGGCACATACCACCGGGGACTAAAAGTTGGGTGGACCTGGAACACAATATCCTGGGCTGGGAACTACCATCATCCTACCTATGGGTACCCCCAACGCAGTGACCACTACCACCGCCAACCTCACCATCAATCACCCACATGCTGGCCCTGTGGGACAAACTCAACTCCAAATATGACCTGTCCTCGTTCCTCTCCCCGGTCACCCCAATATACCGAAACAAACTCTTCCTACCAGGGCTAACAGCAAAGCACTTCCACGTCTTTGACCAAAGAGATATCTCCAGATTGCAACACCTTTACCACAAAGGAGAAGTAATTTCATACACGGACCTCCTGAACGCTGAGGTCCTAACCACCGTAGACTACTTCAGATACCTACAACTGAGAGATCTAGCACCACAAACCATGATCAAACAAGCAGGAACATCGCTGCCAATGCCATTCGAGATGCAGTGCTTCAAAGCACCAATAAAATCGGGAAAAATCTCCGACATATATAGCACCCTAACAACTCACACCTCGCAGATAAATCTCACATATATAGCAGCGTGGGAAAGAGACCTCGGACCACTGGGGAACCCCGGAGACTGGGCAGACATCTGGGAAGCAACGAACACACTGACGGTATGTTTACACATATACAGCAAGCATATAAAATCCTATTTCGCTGGTACATGACACCACACAAACTCCACAAAATGTGAAAATTGTCCAACGACCAGTGCTGGAAACTATGCGGGGAAACCGGGTCCTACATCCACTGTTGGTGGCAATGCCCCAAGCTCAAACCACTCTGGGCTGAGGTACAACGACTCATAGAACAAATCATCGACAAACTACTCGAAGCACAACCCTGGACAATGCTACTGAATAAACCAGTAGACTCCCTCACAAGGAGTGAGAACAAATTGGAGGCCCATATAACCTTAGCAGCAAGAAGAGCAATTGGGGAACTATGGGCAGACCAAGTCATTCCCAAGCTCTCCACCATCAAATGCAAAATCAAAGAGACATGAGACCTGGACGAACTGACAGCACAGATACACGACACATACAAAGCATTTCATAGAACCTGGGACCTCTAGGACTCTAACTACCCAAGACTAGACACAAACACTTCATGAACCAAGTGACCCATCAATCACTACAACGCTCAGAACATGAGCAATCATAAGAGACATCTAACCTTACCACCGTGATGAAAATAGATGCCACACTGCAGATTCCCACTCTAACACAAGCTAAATGAGCAAGACAACACAGAGGAAGAACACCTATGGGGCATAATACCATACAACAGCCCGGACGTGCAAACAAAAACGCACTCCCCCATGCAACATCCCAGCCCCTCCCCCACACCCTGCACCAACCAAAAGGCCCCTACCACTGCCCCACCCACCCCACCTCTTCCTCTCACCTTTCCCACTCCACAATAAACCCTGTGGGTCTGGACCCAGACACTCACAGCCACACCCCACCCACAGACGAGATGGCGCAAGGCAACCCCGGACAGAAAAGAGGTGAAACAACACTACAACTCTACACCAATTACACCAGCTAAGCCCTCAGTGACACCCACGCAATTAATCCAGGGGACAGACAGCCCAAAGGAAGGCCTCAATGCATGACTCCCAGACACAGAGTCAGACAAAACCTGCTCACACATAAGCAAAGGGAACACTAAAGGAGAGACAATAGGATGACACACAGGCCAACAAATAGCAAAAAAGAACTGGCAACCCCAGAGTAGCCACACAACACACCCCCACACCATCAAACCCCCAGGTCGCCGGGGACAACCCCAACAACTCTTCACATACACCAGGACAAAGAATAGGACGGGAAGCCAATGAGCAGCCCACACCAGAAGATATCACCCTTCACCACCTGCTCCCGATATCCCCCCACCACAAGTCTCGAGAATATGACGCAGACAAACGGCCCCAAAAAGCGCAAACAAAGCACAAGCTCAGGCCCCTGAACACCTAGGAAACATCATCACGGCCTACCAGCAACACATAGGCAATGAGTGGCAAATGCAAAGTGGACCCTTGTCCTTAACTATACAGAGAATTGTACTCTCCCCAATGTGTAACACCCCCTACTTTTTCTTTTCTGTACCCCCTTGTTCACATCGAAATATGATGAAAAGCTCTAAATAAAGAATTTATATGAGATAGAAACTATTATAATTGGACATTAGAATATAACATACAAGATATTAATCTTAAAAATTGGATGGATAAATAAATTAATAATCAAAATAGAATCTTTGTTTAAAAGAGATGAGTCTTTTCCCTTTTCTCTTTCAAGAATATAATCTTAACTCTAAGGATATGTTTGTATTTAACGGTAAACAACTTTATTATGGGAATATGTTCTAAAATCAAATGAGAAATGCAAAGAATACTAGATGGAAATTATAATATAACAAAAATTATGGCAACTGGGATTGCAGATACTAATTAATAATATAATAAAATAAAAATAAATAATAAGGCAAAAGCTATGAAAAGCATGGGAGAAGTAAATATTTACTTACCCATGTTAAAAATCAAATAAGTTACCAGCTAAGGATGGAGGATGGAGTTATATCAAATTGTAGTAATACCGTACCAAATGGATGGAATATTTGGATAACATTCATATAATGAAATGGAATGACAGGTACTCCCCCTGCTGCCTGTAAAAAGTAAAACAAAAAGTTAATAACAGTTTAAAATAAAATTATAAATACTTAGATCATATATATATATATATATATATATATATATATATATATATAATATATATAATCTAAGCATATATATATACACATACACTAAGTGTATTTTAATATTAATTTCTATATATAATTATATATATATATATATATATATATATTAATATCAAAATACACATAGAATGATATTGATTAAATATATATATAGATATATTTATATATATAATAAAAAATAAATAAATATGTAAATACGGTAAAAAATAAAAATAAAAAATAAAAAATAAATAAAAATTATATATTGGAAGGCATGGCATGGCCTGAAGTTGTGGGAGGGGCTATAGAGCTACTTAAGGGACTCCCCCCTTCCCTTACTTACCTTCGTTGTTCTGGACGAACAGGGTGATACTTGCCGGCATCCTTTCCTCCTGACTTCCTGGTACGTGACGTCACTTCCTGTGAGACGCGGCGCATTCTCCTACGTCACACGGTAAATGCCGCCGGCTCCACAGCCCGACCGGCTCTACAGCCCGGCCCGACCGCCACTTTCAGCCCGGCACCACCGGCCCCAGAAACGGACCGGCTCTCCAACCCGGCCCTACCTTCTCTCTGGCCACCAACCCGACCGGCCTCTCTCCCCACCAGATCGTTGGTGCGGTAAGCATGGCTCCTACTGGGTAACAGCACGGCTGGCCCGGGTACAGGTACAGAGACTCCATTACCGTTAGGAGTCCCTGTTCCCGGCCGCCGGCTATACCCAGACTTAAGGGGGAAGGTAATGATGGTTTAAAAGGGGGGGGGACAAAATACAATGGCATGGGCGGGAACAGGCCTCACAGACCCCTATATCGTTAGGGGTCCCTCTTCCCACCGGCAACACACAGGGAAGGGGGAAAATAACTGGGTCATCTATGTAAGCCAGTCTACCTGCCTTGCACAACTTAAAGAGGGACATGGTACGTTTCTGTTGCTGGCTGACCCTTAGTTCAGCCAGTTCAGCCTTAATGATTACAATAACATACACTTCCCATTTCAAATGCTTTTATTGTTCAATACTTTGCTGTTATGTATACAAATACTACTAGTTAGAACGCTGGTTAAATATATATGGTATGATATGCTTGATAAACATGGTAGTTTATATAATATATGTTTTACTTATGGTTGATTAGATATGTTATGAAATATCTGTATGTAAAGTAGCAACGTTAAAGTCTAAAGATAATTAAACCACAGTTAAGGTTAAAGTACATGGCCTACCGGTAGCATTGTGTCCGTTGTGGGGACAGTACTCGCTGCAATCACCCCCGAAGCATTTACTACGTCAGTTATTCAACCTTATGTATATGTTCCACAAGAGTACATTATCTAAATTCTCATACCCCCAGGAACCCGAATACCCTCGGACGGGTCACCTAAGCTAACCCCCCCCCTACTCAAGAGACCTCTGATTTCTCTTATACAGAAGCCAGTGCTCATTTTTCTGCAGCTATGTTGATTTTCACGTTATTTTAATCCTAGCGGTCCGCGAGGCCAGCTCCCATCCTCCACTTCGAGGTACAATACGCCCCTCGGGCCAAATCATAGTTAGCCGCCTCGCAAATTATATAGAGAGGGCGACACCAGTCACTGACAAATGCCCATCCCCCCCCCCACACGCATGGAGAGGCCAATGTCCCATCACCGGTATAGGTTACCACGCCCCTCGCGCCAACTCATAGATAGAGCCTCTCTAGCCACTTGGCACTAGCAGGGCCTCACCTGTCACAAACCTAGAATAATCTTTCGCCATCTGGCAC